AAAGAATTCATTTTGGGTTTATGATGACAGATAAGCGATGGATTAATAATGTTCGGTAAATTAGATGAGTAGATGTGGACAGATGGGCTGATAGAGCAGATATCAGGGAGTCACAGGCGACTGTTGGAGAGAGCAGAGGCTCATGGGAAGAGTCACAAACTCGAGCCAGCTTGCACCCTATCTGGAATCCGATAGGAACAAATATGTCTTTGTCCGCTCCTGCCTGTGTCTGACTATGTGTCATACCCTGTCTGTGCTAGGCCTCTGTCTGTGTACGTATAGAATATTTGTACGTATTATTGTCTTTTCGGGGCACTGTTAAGGCTTTCTATCCCATCGTCAGTCCAGCACTTTTGCTATAAAGTGTTAACACAATCTAAGACCACTGTATTTGTTCTTCTCGGAGGATTTTTTTCTCCTGTGACATTTCAATAGGCCGTAATTACCACAGCTATCAAGCTATCTAAACCACAGAAGCTGCACGGCTCCCACACAAAGACCTATCTTTCTATGTGCGGCTCACCACATATTTTATGTGACTCCATAAAGCATTACAAAGCTGTCTTTGACCGTATGCAAAGCTGCTCCGCCAGCATGCCCGCACGTAGAAATTTCATAATGAGATGGCAGCACTTGAACCAATTTACTTTTAATGCTCTAATTAAGCTGCTTTTTGTAGTTTTTTTGAGGACAGTAATCTGTCTTTAACAAGTAAATAGTTTACTTGGATCATTTGCAGTGGTGGAATGTAACATAGTAACTCAAGAGATGCTTTATACTTGTGCTCCTCTACATTTTGGCAGCCAGTATTGTACTTTTTACTCAATTACATTTATTTGACAACTTTAATTACTAGTTACTTTGCTAATTCAAATTATTAATACAAAATACCAATAAATAATTACATATTATTATGTAGTAAGGTACCCAATAAAGTAGTTGAAATTAACTCCACCTTTACCAGCTGCAGCATTAGTGATGCTTACACATTAATGCATCACTTATTATAATCCAGTGATATAATATATAATATTCTTAAATGGGCCATTCTGCATAATGAGTAATTTTACTTTTGCTACTTGGCATGTTAATACTTTTTACTTGTCAGTATTTTTTCACACTGTGGTATTGCCCACTTAAATAAAACATCTGAATACTTCTTCCACCACTAATCATTTGTACGTTATCTATTACATAGCATACTACTACCAATACTACTACTAATTACTACTACTAATTCTTTAATAGAGGTTTTGGATTTCAAATAAGAAAACAGTAAAATGGTGGCAAAAGTAACAATTAACAAACGTCTCACACTTGAGTTTAACTTTAGCTTTAGCTCTTTTACAAACGTCTTAAAATAAATGAAAATAGACGGAAGACAGTTGAAATAATTAACAAATATAGACATTTGAAACGTTTTCAAAAAATAGGTTTCGTGGCTATAAAGAGATACTCAGTCTGTCGGTTCATTCATCAGCCCTTTTCTATTCTTGTTCTTTTGGCAAAAGTCCTTAAAGTTTGCATCCTTGCCAACAGGATTTCATTTCTCATAAAGTACAGTGAGCATTAAGGGCTTTGCGAGACATTTGTTTGGACTAGTATTGCACACATTGTGGTCTCTCCGGTGACTCAGCAGACATTTGGTTCCTTTAGTTGGTTCCTGGCCTTACGTCAGTGCAAAAGCTCATTTGCATTTGTATTGTGTAAGAAGAATGTGAAGGGAAAAAAAACTGGGCAAAGTTTTCAGGCTCCTTTAGAATATTTTGTCCTTTACTGATGTGCTAAAAGAGCTTTTCAGACCCGAGAAAAACCTTTGACGTAGGTGAAAACAAAGCTACAACAACAACTCAAAAGTTACTATAGGATTATTTTATGTTCAGTATAAATCTGTAGTTTCTACAACCCTCCTGCATCCTGAATACATGAATCGGAGTCTAATAAATCTCTTATGAATGGATGACAAAATGGCTCAATCCAACGCTTGGTTCCAAACTAATATATTGTAACTACTGGATGGATTGCAATGACATTACAAATATATATACTCCATTCATAAATCCAGCGCCACCAGCAGGTCAAGTTTTCAATTATTCTGTGAAATATCTGATATTTTAGTACATGCATTGGCACAAACCTTTAAACAGACGTTCATGATTCTCAGAGGATGAATCGTATTGACTTTGGTGATCACCTGACTATTCCTCTAGCACCACCAGCAGGTTAACTTTCTTACATATCACTACTGTGAAATTTAGTGAACGTGCTCATGTTGCTCTCAGGATGAATTGCCATAACTTTCTAGCGGTGTAGTTGCAGATCACAACTCCCTTGCTTCACCCTCCCCTTCCACGTGCTAAGGACGAACAACGGTGGCTGTTAAAGACGTATAATTATTATTATTTGCCCAATACTTGAGGTTTTTGACCTGCAAAACTAATGACATTCCCAGTCTCAGCTGTACTTTGTTTTGAGGGCTAAATGGTAAGTGGAGCACGCTAACATCAGCATATTAGCATTGTCTAAACTACACTTGTTTAGTAGCAAGAAGTGGTTATTGAGGTAGGCTAGTTATCAAGCTAAATCACCAACGTTGTAAATGTTTTCTTTACGTTATTCAATGTCAGACTTTGAATTGTATTTCTTAGTTGCTTCTAATTTTTGATATAAATAAAAAAACTACACATTTTATTCACAAAGCAGTAGGCTCCCACCAAAAGAAACAGTGTGATAAAGGCATTCAGAAGGTTTTGGATTTATTAAGCTCATGTGATACTGAATTCAGATTTGATAACCTTTTCATTAAAACCAAACCGTAGTGAATAAAGACAAGAACCACATGCAGTGTCTTACGGGTTAAATATCCAGCCAAAGAGTTTGTGGTCCCAGGTCTTGGGATGAATTTCCATGCCAACTATGTTGCCTCATGACTGGCTATGAGTGGTCACATGCAGGTTGAATGTGTGTTTAATACCTCATACCGGGTTTCTGTGTGAAGGTTTATTTGGACTGCTGATTAAAAAGCACTTTACATCAGCAGTTGGCGCACCCTCACACCACAGGCTGGAGAATCGGATTCATCCACGTGAAGAAAGGGATCTAAAAACACATGATACATTCCAGGCATGAATCACACTCAGACTAAACTAGCGCATGCATGTTCACCTTTTTACAACGTCCAGTAATTCCTTCAATGTAAGAGACCAGATATTTTTTTTTGTCCACAATTTTTTCTTCACTCTGACAACTTAAGTATCATCCCTTCCTATGACTTGTGCGATTAGAATATGAGTGAGTGCATGTGCCAGACGTGAATCTCACAGACAACGTTTTCAAACAATTTCTTGATCACAGAGGGAGATTTCTTTTTTTCTGTGACAGTAAAACGCATTCACAGCTGGAAACATTTCTTTCAGGCAGCCTCTCAGCACCACACTGCCGTTTTGTATTCAATGTCTAACTCACAGCACGCCTTTAGACTCTGTGCACACAGTGTAGATGTGTGAAAGTGCTGGTGGATTTTGAAAATGATGGCCACGTCTACATGCATGTCTGCGGCATGATAAATACACTTCAAGATGCATCTTTGAATGCTTTTAGGACTATTTCAAAGGGCGCAGTCGAGCAGACATGGATGATAACGTCTGTATTTGTGCAGGCACATGACATTTCTCAAGCTGCGTTCGAAATCTGGGTGTGCTGTTTTATGAAGTCTGATGTGAAACCCATTGATCTGTAACTGACTTGTAATTTATTAATGGTTTGAAATGTCAAAACACCCTCCGCTGCAGCTATAACGTTCAGTTTATATTGTAGTCTCACTTTGCGGCTGACGAGTTTTCTCCTCTAACAGAGGTTTTGTCCTCCAGAGTCAAAAAGGAGTCTCTGAGTTGGTAGCACCTTTTGTCTGCTGCTGACACGAACAGACAGCACTACACATGCGGCTCCCCAATCATCACACCAAGGTTGAAAACTCAGGGACTTTTAATTCCTCTATGAATTTGCACTTTCGCTTAGACATCTTTACGAGTGATTCTACCAGCTAAGCTTCTCTTTATGCGTCCCTTAGCGACAATAAACAGCATCCAACGGCAGAACTTCCTGCAAGCTTACATTATATACGTCATATATTTATATTAGATTGTTGCATGCAACTTCAGCATGGTTTTATCTATGGGTAGTCCATGGCATGAACAAACAAGCATTGGGCAGGTTTATTTACTTTATACACAGTCCTAAAGGTTCAGTGTGTTACATTTAGGAGCATAAAACTACTCATGTTCCTGATTCTTTTATTTTTTTAATCCGACAGATCATATTTACTGACATCAAGTAGCACTAGGAGAGCAATCACTCATCACAGTTACCGTGTATGCTTGTAGAACAGCATACCTTACTGTAGTAATATCAAAGGCTAATAATTATTATCTAAAGCAGGTAGGTTGTGTAAATTAGCGAGGAGGTATAACGTTTATATTCTATGCCAAGGCCACACACACACACACACACACAGTGCTACAAGATGAATGCTTTGAGGCGTTTGGTTGTCAGCCATGGTCCCTTCTCCTTGTTGTTAATGCTGCTGGTGTTCTGGCAATTCTTTGGTGGGTTTTGTTTGCTGAGGCTTTCTCTGCGGGAGCATTTACTTCTGAGCTACCAAAGGAGGACAGCCGGAAACTGAAAGCACACACGCACACACAGGTGGAAGTGGTGGGTCTCTTTCTCTTTTCAAAGTCCCTAAAAGGAAGAAAGTAGAGCGAAAAGAAAGTGTGTGTGTGTGAGTGTGTGTGTGATCCAAAGCCAGACTTTTAGGCAAAGCCAGCTCTCTACAGCTCTCTGTTAAAACCACACATGGAAATTCACAGACAAAGCACAGCAGTATCTCCCCCCCGACTTCATAGTAAAAAAACATTCATTTTAAAAATGTTAGAAACAAACGAAACTGTATGTTTTGTGATGCGTCTGGAAAACTCAATTCTGCCTCTCTCTTTCCTTCCTAGTTTATAATAGAAGACATGAAGCAGCAGCAAACCAACAAACACAGCAACCTGCACCGCGAAGACCAGCACATCACTGTGGAGGAGCTGTGGAAGGGCTGGAAGACCTCCGAAGGTAAACCCAGGCCAACTGTCTCTGCCCCAAGGTCACTAACGCAAACACCTCTACATTTATTGTATTAAGCTCTAATCGAGGAGGAAGAGAGGAGAAGGAGGCTTAAAATACTAAAGACGGCAAAAGAAAAACACACATCTGTAGAGAAGCCAGGTTTTTGGTGACAATCCCTCAATATGAAACCCCCTCTTTGTAGAGCTGCCATTTTGGTGGTTGTACAGGGAAAAATCCAACAAAGCTATCTCTGTTGGATTTCATTTTAACCGACCTTCATGCTTTGCAACTGGAAAACGCGCTTTCGTGGAGGACAAGAGAAAAAAAAAGGAGAAAACATACAAAGAAAAACAATAAGATTCCTCAGGCTGCCTATGTAGCAAGCCACAAACTATTATATAACTATTATATAAACACACCAAATCACACGACAGAGGTGTGGTTCCTAATGAGTAATCAGCAGGTGCAACATCCTCTTGACAAACTAATGTGAACAAGCACTCATCAAGTACCTTTTTAGGTGACTTTCTACTTCTCCAGATACTCAAGTGGACTTCTGCGGGGTCGACGCTTCAGGCGCTGAGTGAGGGAGCGAGCGATGATGAACGCTCAAGGGCATATTTACCCGGAATGAAGTGTGATCTATTATTTGCTCTGCAGAATGTGTAATGATGTAAAAGTATAAGTAAACAGACTCTCATTAATGTTTAAAGGAATTCTTTTTTTTTTTTTTTCCAAGGAAGCCATCTGAGTAGTTTCAATCACCATTCACTGCTATTATTTCAATTATTCTACAGCTCAAGGGTGAGTGCTGTTCATTGTCATTTTGATCACACAAACCTTGCCCGCAAGCGACACCGTGAAGTTTGATTCGGTCGTATTACTGCGAAGAATACAGCTTCAGAAGGTTGTTTCCTCCACTCCTCTCTCCTTCTCCGAGTCTCTTATTTGAATTTCAGATGGGGGACAGAATTTGACCCAAAGTCCTCTTCCTTTTCTAACACATCTGTGTTTTATCTTCAAACACGCACCTCCCAATCTGTCATTCTCAGCCTCTTCCTGCCAGTGTTTGTTTATAACTCTGAAAATATGTGTGGGGCTACAGTAAGTGGTTGCGGAACATGCCTTTTAACTAGCACTTGTGTTCCTTAGCATTTGAAATAAATACAGCCTCTGCAGAATATACAGTAAACATTTTAGTTTAGTTGTTAGATTGAGACATCTTTTTAACCACAGCTATGCAGATGTTATACAGACATTCAATGCTTTTTTGTCATCAGATGTTTGTCATAGTAAGTAATATATATTATGCATTTTATTGTATTAATCGTATTGTATTTAGGTTTCTATCATCCCACCATCTCAGAGGGAAATGTACTTTTAACTCAATTTAATATATTTACGTACTTATCAGATTAAGAATTTCCATAAAAAATAGATAAAACCAGTGGTCTATGTGTTGTTAGAGGTTCCATCACTTCAAACGCCTCAGATGGTTTCATTTAAAAAAACAGTTCAAAGCTCAAGGAGATAAAAACTTGACAATATCTCATAAAAGGAAAGGTTAGAGGGAAGTAAAAAAAAGCATACACTTCAACCTGCTACAGCGGTAAATTTCCACTTAAGCACTGCTGCAAAAACCTTCATCTCCTCCTTTCCCTCTCTCCTCATCCAGTCCACAACTGGACCGTGGAGCACGCGGTGCAGTGGCTGAAGGAGTCGGTGGAGCTGCCGCAATACGAGAAGAACTTCAGGGACTTCCGGGTCACAGGGAACACCTTACCTCGGTTAGTACGGCTCACTTCAAACGACGACTTCCTTACAGGAGCGCTGCCACGACACATATCAACACAGTGTGTGTGTGTGTGTGTGTGTGTGCGTGCCGCTAATTAAGATGTTTTACTTTGCTGCTGGTGAGCAGTGAAGTGTGTTTATGAACAGGAACACTATTATGGTCTTTGTTACAATACCCGAAGGCACCTTTAGATTTCATTACTCTGTTTAATGCTGCCCACTGCTGGTCATAAAAGGAAACACATGGGGAAGAACACTCAAACAGGTAGATTCTTCACCTCAGTGTCTTTCTTCTCCTATGGCTGTATTATAAAGGGTGTTTTTCAAAGCCTGACTCATCACATGCAACCATTAAACCATTAAACGCAACCCTCAGAACAATATGTAAATGCTTTTTTAATTGAATCCTTGAAGTTTAATCTTTTAAAAGAGGATGAAATAGTTAATAAAGTCATCCGAGTGCCCGACATTACAGGAGAAACTCAGACGCTGGTGGGACACTTGTGGAATGTGACCCGCTGCAAACTGCATGTACGCCATGAGTAGACAGAGGGGCGGGTGAGTGGGTTATTGAGGGGTTTCACGTTACGCCACGAGGCCGATGGGCGCTGACTCATGAAGTGATGTCACAGCGAGCGGGTACAGTTTCCTCAGGCTGCCATGTTGTCTGAGCCCTTTAAGATGGTGGTGGTATGTGACCGCTGGTTGTGGGAAGAAGAAAAAAAAGAGGAGATGGTGGTGTCATAAAGGTTGAACTGAGTACATGAGAATAGTGAAGAGTTTGTGTATCCTTCTTACAGGCACTCAATCACACCTGTACTTCTCAGGAGGATTTGACTGATATGTGACTTATATTATAAACAAAGGCCAAAGGCAGTCTGGATTCAGTCCATCCATCCTGATTCTCCAGAATTTAAAGATTTGCAGTCCTTTTAGGCACTAAACAGCCAAACTGCATTGATTGTTATTTACTAAATGACCTATACAAGTCAAAACATTAAAAGAAATGGAGAGAAATGTTAAAACAACGTCTTAAGAGTTCAGCCAGTGAAAACATTTCAGTGACAGCAGTAAAGAATACTGCAGCCAACTTTAAAGTTCACATTCTGTAACCCTTCATATTTCATCCTTATTGTGTATCATTATATAATAAACAATTAAACAACAAGCTCTGACTAATTTTAATGCACACTGGAAGCTGAAATAGTTCTGACTGGGTAGAAAGACACAGACAAGATTCAATGCTGATTTTTTTCCTTCTTCACATTTCAGAATAGCGGCAAATGAACCGTCGTTTATGTCGATGCAGCTGAAGATATTAGACCAGCGGCATAAACAAAAACTAAACCTAAAGGCACTAGATGCAGTGCTGTTTGGCCCTCCTCTCCGTAAGTATGCAGCATATTTTGTTTGGTCCCAACTTGGATGTTTTTTATGCCAAATACCTACATTTTTACAACCAGAAACAGAGTAACACAGTATTTTCTCCTTGTCCTCCTTCTCTCTGCAGGTCCACAGCATAACTTGATGAAAGACTTTGTCCTGATGGTTTCCATAGTGATTGGCGTTGGGGGCTGCTGGTTTGCATACGTTCAGAACAAGTCCAGCAAGGTGCACATCTCTCAGATGATGAAGGATCTGGAGAGCCTGCAGCATGCCGAGCAAAGCCTGTTAGACCTGCAGAGCCGGTAAGAGAAGGAAATGTATCAGATAGACTTAAAATGTGACAGAGACATTATATTCCACACTGGTCATCTCGTCCGTTTGCCTCCTCATCTCCCAGGCTGGAAAAGGCTCAGGAGGAGAACCGGACAGTAGCCGTGGAGAAGCAGAACCTCGAGCAGAAGATGAGGGATGAAATCACCGGGGCCAAAACGGAGGCTCATAGGCTTCGAGAGCTGCGAGAGGGCGCCGAGTGCGAACTCAGCCGGCTCAAATACGCTGAGGAGGAGCTAGTACAGGTAGGGCTTCCCACTTGCAAACTGATTTATCATTATTTATCATCAAATGTTAAAATGAACAGTCTTCTACTCTACCCAGGAGGTGTATAATCATTGTATATAAATCATTACTGCTGCTAAAACACCTGAAAAACACCTTGAAACGAGAGGATTAATTTCACATTTTTCATCTTAAATTTTAATTTCTTCCAAAGCCACAAGATTTCCTCATTTCCCTTCACATAAAAAATACAGCACCAATATATCAAAAGTTCCTCTTGGTAATGAGTTCTCTGCTTGCAGACGAGCCGGGGTTGGACTCATTTTTACACAGCAAATTCAGAAATTAAACAATAAATGCAGTTTCATTTGAAATTCAACGAGCGTTCGCCCTCAGTTTCCAGTGTTTGATCAATGATCTCACGGCGGGGGGGGTTTAAATTTTTGACAGTGAATTTAAGCTGGACCCTGATGTATCACGTTGCTCCTGCGTAGGTGCGAAAGGCTCTGAAGCGAGCAGAGAAGGAGATGCAGTCAGAGCGGTCGGTGCCCGAAGCTCTTCAGAAGTGGCTCCAGCTCACGCACGAGGTGGAGGTTCAGTACTACAACATCAAGAAACAGAACGCTGAGTTTCAGCTGTGCGTCGCTAAAGATGAGGTAACTAACATTTATCTCCTTAAGTGGCTTACAATACAGAGAATGAGCAAGCGCGGGTCGGTCAGCAGTGTTTTATAAATCATGAAAACGTGCTGAGTGGGTTTATTTAAAGTTCAGCGCGCTCGCATGTAGTGGAAGTGAAAAGAGATTAGGTCTGGCAGAGGTTTCACTGTATTTGCATTGCATGAATCTATCTTGCTCATAAACCACCGAATGCACTTGATTTCAGGTGCTCTTTGAATTATAATTTAATAGTGTAAAAATAATGAAAATGCTTATGTATCCACAGCCACTGCAAGAGACTTTAATGTCCTGGGTGTTGACTGTCAGGAGCCAAGCAAATCAAAAGCAGGCAAAATCAGACCCTACCTACTTTTTTTTCATATTGCCAGTTACACACTAAAGTACACAGAGCTGCGCCTTGCTCATCTCTTTTTGTCTCCGCACGTTAAAAGAGTAGTAAATCATGTTTATTGCTGCTACCAAGCTACTAGTGCCGGGCTGCAGAGGGAACATCAGTCTGCACTCTCGCTGACAGCCGGGATTGTTTAAGAGCAGTGTAACGCAGCCTGGCTGGCCTATAGTAGAGGTACTAGTATATAAGGATATAAATATCACTTCTGTCATATTTTTGCTGGTCAGAACAGAAGAGTGGCGTTATGGAAGATTGACGGAAGGAAGTGGCAGTCTTCTGATTAACACATAAAACAGAGAAATGTGTCTTTAAACATGTAGTTAAATCATGTTTTAATTACATTGCCCATTTTAGTTTTTGTTACTTTCATCCGGCAGAAATCTTAATTGCTGAATTCGATTAAATTCGGCTGCACATTCACGCCAAACCTTCAAGTAGGGGGTTGACTAAAAAGAATAATTTCCTGTTTTGAAATGCAGGAATGGCTAAAAAAAGATGGCCTTTAAAACATGTTTGATTAATGAGTCGACATCACTGCTTTACTTTCAGTTGAAGGCCTTCATTTGTCGGGGGTTACAGTGAAGAGCTTTTTGGGGGTCAGAATAATACTTTAAAATGTTTTGTGTGTTTCTTTTTATCTCAGGCAGAGAAAATAAAAAAGAAAAGAGGTTCTGTGTTTGGAACTCTTCATGTAGCCCACAGTTCATCGCTGGATGAGGTGGACCACAAGATACTAGAAGCAAAGTAAGAAAAGAAAAAAACTCACTCAATACAAACACACACTCACACACACACACACACACACATAGACAGACACAGACAGAGAAACACAAACATGTGATCAATTCATTGTCCTTGATCTGTGTATGTTATTAGCCATACCTAATGATTTGCAATAATGTCAACCAATCACAGTGCTTATTGATATACAATGTTACAAGAAAGGTCGTCATATTAAATAGCAGATCATGCTGTGATGGCATGTTATTGATATGGCGGTATGGGAATCTTCAGTCGGTGTTAGGGCAGCAGCTGTATTGTTGCTTGCAGTGTGTATTACTTAGCCCAGATACATTTATATGCACACACACTACTGTTATACTGACATTTTTCTTTTTTTATTCAATAATGGCCGCTTTAACGTAGCTAAAAACAGTATAATTCAGACACTAAAAGTACCGTTTAGTTTTTGTCCCCAAAAGAAGAATAATTCGATGATTAAAGCTTCCAATTAGCAGATGTCCCCACAGTGTTGCACGGGGAGAATACTGTTTAAATGTAACCATTTTTCCCCTAAATACCCTTCAATTTTAAATTTGTTTTCCAGTCCAATAAGTGACCCTAGATTATTACTGAACCACAACGGTGCAACTGGGCTCCAAATATTTAGTTTTTGTCTTTGGGCCCTCTGGAGTCCACTCAGTAATTATACTAAATAGGCTTAAACTGTGAGTCCATAGTGTGTTCAGCTGATATTCTGTGATCCAGTTCCAATAGTGCTAACCCTAGACCAACCCCGGTGATTTCCTATTTGTCTTATTAGGCGTTTCTCAGCCACTCGTACAGCTTTTGGTTCTCCAGGTACAAAACATTTTGCAAACCCTTTATAGTTAAATAATACATAAATAGTAAAGAGATTTCTTAAAGCAAAACCTAAAAATCATGAAAGAACAGGTCAAAAAGTATAGAGTAGTCCTCCCAGCCAGGCGAACAAGCTTTTGTGGCAGGAAATTACACATTTCTGAACAGTAATGTGCGTACTATCTAATCTGCTGATAGAGTAAATGAGGCTTTTACATCAACAATGACTTTTGTTTTGTTTGTTCACTAATTAAATACGTCAGAATACTCACCGCATTCGAAAAACCTACGCAGTGACCTGACTGCACAATGTCACAAGTTCTCGCACAGATATGACCACATAATACTATTACATTTCTTAGGTTATGTATTATTCCAGATATATTTAATATATTCTGAACATGTACAGTATAATCCAGGTGCTGCCACTGAGATAAAGACTCCCTTTGTGTTTAAAGCCAAAAAGGGGGGGGGGGAAATCACATAAAAGGGAGAACAAAGTAAAAATCTTCTGCACGAGTCCATTATCATAATATAACCAGCTTGTATTCCAAAAATGTCTAAATCCTGACGAATCAAAGCAGAGAATTTGAATCCGTATCAGAAACAGGATCACCCCGATGTTTGCCACCTCCTCATTCATCTTTTTTTCTGTTAAGGAAAGCCCTGTCAGAGGTAACGGCGTGCCTGAGGGAGCGGCTGCACCGCTGGCAGCAGATCGAGAAGCTTTGCAACTTCCCTGTGGTCAATAACGCGGGGCTGCCGAGCCTGACGGCCAGCCTCTACTCAGACCACAGCTGGGTGGTCATGCCGCGAGTCTCTGTGCCTCCCTACCCCATCGCAGGGGGAGTGGATGACCTAGACGAGGACACGCCTCCCATCATTCCGCAGTTCACAAGTGAGTGGTGGAGGATTACGACGCTTTCCAAATGACATACACAAAATAAATATGTAGTGAACTAAACTGTGATGTCGATTCCCCCCCAGCGACCACGTTGATCCGGCCATCCCTGACCCGCAGCAGCAGCCTGTGTCGTTCCCGCCGGAGCCTGCTGAGCTCGCCACAGTCCTCGCTGATGTCCCCAGACCCCGACCTGCTGTCCATGGCCAGCTCTTCCCTCTCCTATCGCCCCGAGGCAGACGACGAACATATCTTGTTCAGCTCGGATAGGAGGGGGTATGTAGCGGTGGCCGGAACGCCGCGGAATGGTTTTACAGTTTGGACTCACAGGTGTTTTATTCAGACATTCACGCTGACGCTTCAAGCTTGGGGGTTAAACGGCGGAATCTAGTATGTGGAGGATGCATGTATTAACCTCTACATGATACACCATATTTAGTTTATGTCTAACATGATTAATTAGATGGAAAAAAATCTCATCTCCACTTTAATTTCTGCACTTTGTTCCCAATTTGCTTTACTAATGTGTCAGTAAAGACTAAACCCCTAAGAAAACTCAAAACAGTGGTTATATTCATGTGAAATGCATGACAAATAATGGGCAGTAACTAACATATCTTTTAAGCACCTGAAAGGAGAAGCCCCTGTGGTTTCCCTTTAAAAATATAGGGCATAGTCATTAATATTACATAATGAACACTAAACAGTTTCTGCCCAAGACAGAAAGATCGCACAGAATCTGGGTAGTGCTGACAAAAATAAATCACACATGGCCAGATTTACTTTTTATTTATTTTGCTTTTGGGCCTCTCTTGACACACTCACTACCTACTGCCCCCTGTGCATTATGGATGATGTATCATCTCCAAGTTCCTATCAAGTACAGGGCAAACAGCTGACTATACCGTACATGCCACTTTTATTATGTGCCTACTTTTACCACTGTAGACTTTACATAGGAATGTGCCCCATGCAGATTAAAGTAATAAACAGGTTAAAAGTAGATTCAGAAACAGGGACACCGTGAAAGGGCTACAGAAGTGCAGCTGCTCCCGCAGTTGATATTGTGCAGAAGTAGTTCAAATTCCCTAAAATTGATAATGTTAGTAATAAGTAGTGTATTTATTCATATGGGATTAGTATCGGGACCTCAAATTTAGTACACGATGAGATTAAAAAATTCAAGTAAAAGGTCATAATTTAATTTACTGTGCCTCCTCAGGTAAAACATATCCCATCAGAACAGTGTATACCCAAACAAACATTTTTGAAAAGGTTTCCATTAATTAGGTTTTATGAAGAATTGCGCCCAAAACACATAACAAGACAGACTTTTTGTAGCTAAACAAATTAGCCACATTTCCGAAACTCTAATTAGTTTCTTTTTATGAGTTTTAACCGCGGTGCGTCTCCTCTCCTCTCTCAGGGAACCGGTTCAAGAGGGCAGCTCCGACACAGACTCTCTCAGCTCCTCCATGGGCCGCAAGCAGCTGCACAACCCCTGCACGCCGGGCTCGGACACCCCGTACCGCAAGATCTCCCGCGAGGAGCTGCTGCTGTTCAGCCAGAACCCGGAGCTTCCCGCGTCCACCGCCGCCGCCTCCACCACCCACACCACCAGCAGCAGCAGCAGCAGCAGTCTCAGGGACTCCACACCTCCCCCACGCGCCTTTCCGCCCGCCGCTCTGGTCCCACTTGCGGCCACACCCCGCTCGGGCCCGCCCTGCACCTGCGCGCGGTTCGCCGCGCCTTGGAGCAGCCCATCGTTTTGCACGCACTTTGTAGGCTCGCCTACTCGCACCGCATGCCAGTACCGGACGTGCCGCAATATGCGCCTACGTTCTCACAGGGGGAGGGCCACTCGTACGACGGCAGAAGGCATGTACACGGCATCCTGGACGAAGTCTACAGCTGCTCGGACAGGCCTGTCCGCCGGCGGGAGCTATTGCTGTCCTACACGTGGTTGCCCACCTCGTCTCTTTACGCCTCCTGGACAGAGAAGCTCCGCATCGAATCTCCTTGTAAAAGAAACGGGTCGGGCAGGGCGGAGCGTGGGATAGGATTGATACAGGGCAGTCCAGCCGCACCCTCCCAGCGACTCAGGCGACAATTGGGAGAGAAAGTCAAGCGCTTATCCTCTAAATAAAGATGTATTTATTTAAGAACGAAAAAATAGAAACTTGCAGAGTGAGGATATGTGAGCAGAGACGAGCAGAGAGACGGAGAGTTAGAGAAAAGTCAAACTACTTAGCGCAGTTGTTATACGTAGCCCTACTATAAAATGGAGAAAAGTGTGGACATCACTGTAGTGAAACATCATTTTGCGCTCTTCTTATTTTCGTTGCTTTTTGTGTCAAGAGACTGGAATGTTTAGTCGTGTCAGGGG